TAACAGCTAATTAATTGTCTATATAATAGTTGTCAAGCACAAACTGTTAATAAATAAAAAACATCATCATCATTACAGTTTGCAACACGTATAGTTTTTTCCTAATACTTACAACATACGTATTATATAATACATTGTAGGAGATTATAAAAATTACGGTTCTTATTATTATAATTCTATTTTCATTAATTTATATTCCTTAGAAATATAAAGGATAGTTAAAATAATAGCAACAATAACAAAAACAAATATTATACATTTATATACTTACAAATGATTTTGTTAATGATTTGCACATTATTATTGGTTCAGTTTTTGAAACGCTATCGATCTGTGGCCGATAAATCATCCTTAGATCTGAGGACGGGACTTGCACAATTGGAATCAGTACAAAGTTAGCTACATTCACGGGTCTCTCTGTGAATACAGCTAACGGCCTTTGGAACTCGGGTTCGTAATTATTTTGGTAGTTATCATTCGGCGGAGATGGTCCGTACGATTTTGGTGGATCCGATCCCCAACATACGTCCAAAGTGATCACTAACAACAACATCGTCCGAAGAAGCATTTCCTGAAAAAATAATTTAATTGTTTACAATCAATACAATGCATTAGCATAATATACGTTTATTTTAATTTGTAGATAAATTGTTAAAATATATTTTATTCAGTTTGTTGGGAATGTTCCATTAAGATTAATTTACGATTTTTGCATATCTTACTATATCACATAACATAAAATAATACTTAGTATAATATAATATATAGCTGGAATTACGTCTGAAGTATACTTATCATTTCTTTTTTCTGTATAATATACTARTATAATAATGTATACATTAGACTGATTAGAGAAGTGTTACTAAAGTCAATATTTAAAAATTGTTGGAAAGAATTTAATATCACGCATAGGTAATACTGCATAATAGCAATAGTGTATCGGCTATTTGAGTTTATTCCTCATGTTATAACTTTAAGTAAAATGTGTACACCGAATCAAAGACATTATTAATTAGGTATGTCCGTTTGAGAAAAATGTGAACCCGTTTATGGCGTAAAACAAGGCGGACAGTTGGGAAATAAAATAAAAAGAAAAATAACACAAAATCGAAAATCACTTACCTTCAGTGTTTCCGTCATGTCGTGGCTGGTTATCCTATCACCTATTTATCAACKTGCCTTATATATTGTGTGTACACGGATGATGTTGCGCGTTGCCTGAGCTTGAAGACTGAATGGTAGCGTGTGCACCAGGTGASCGCCTATAAAAAGGACACGCGATGAGCTTCAATGGCAAAACAGTCGCGTAACAGAGGTATAAGCCGAGTAGGTACCAATATATTATGTTTTGTACATATATATACACGTCACACATTACCTGAGTGTTCAGTATGCGCAAAGCGTGCAAAAGTAAAAGTTTTCCCAAAATTTTAAAAATAAACGAAATATGACAAAAGAGGCGCGAACAAAACGATAGACTTATAGTATATAAGTATATACGCCTATGAGTATTGTAGTAGGATAATGCTCGCGCTTTCGTCGACCTTGTATTGACATATATATGTTTGTTATTATTTTGTATTCACGCGCATTCTCTCAAATCATAATGGCCAATACAGGTCTCTGGCATTTTTTAACAGAAAAATAATTACGATTTCGAGGTATATAGGTAAATGTTGCAGCAGACCACATAAAAAAACGTCTCGGCTACGACGACGTTTATGCATAATATATAGCATATAGAAGTACGCCATGTATTATAATAATATAATATACAGATAAATAGGTTAGTTTATACTTATTTATGTATAAACCTAATACTTACAGTGATTATATATATATGCATGTGTACAAGTATTATATATATATATATACGTGTATCGTTTCAAAATCACAAAAAGTATCTGTATAAGCCATAAGGACGTCGTTTTGTTTGAAATTTKTTAAATTTTAAATTTTATAAAAACAGATTCTCATATTTTTACGACGTGAAATTTAATCATCATAATATACTTACGCTATTATCGGTGATGGAGACATTTATTGTAAATTTTGTATTACAAGCACTAAAACAATTTGTGGTTTTAAATTTTTAATATTAAAACAACGGTCTGGTTATAAATTTTATTCAGATTTTAAATAAATTAAAGAACTCATRTGTAATCTAGTTTAAAAATATAGTGTAGGTATTTGAAGCTATCACTATAAATCTTAATTTTTTATTCGAAAAATTGTTTTTCTTTATATTATTATTTTGTAATATTTATTAATATTATGGCTTTAAAGTTTAAATAGTTTAATTATAACAGCTCTAGACAATAGTTTAATTCTTATAAATTATAATACAGTTTATATACTTAATAACATTCATATATAATTMTTATAACAGACAGCTGTATAAAATATTATTATATTCGATATAGATATACAATTTAACGCGTGGCTAAATCTAATATGTTTACATTTTGAAATCAAATCGACAATCSTCAAGACAAATTTATTTTTGATACACGTGTATAACATACRGCCACGCAGGTATGCATCAACTATAAGCAGTAAGTATATTATGTACCTGCTTTATATGTWAAGACATTTTTTTTATGTAAATAMATTTGTAGGGTTCAAATCTCGAAAACAATCAGCATGCGAATATATACGTAATGCATATATTGAGACGTATATGTAAATGAATGCAATTTAAAACCCATTAGGTATGAAACAAAATATATAGCGTCTATGTAATCGCACGTTTATAGTCACAGTACCTACTCAGTGTGAATAACACATGACGTGGTACAATAATCTAGACGGATGTCTCGGATGAGTATTATATAGTTATAGAATTTTTATTACGTTGTTGTAAAACGATCCAAAAGTGGGATTAATATAATATTATGTGGTAACATTCTTGCCGTACTCCGTTAATACACAAATTTAGGAAAATAATACATCGTCTGCCCGTCTGCAGTGGACGCAAGCATCAACATCATAATACTATTGTAACACTCGTATAAACTATTATTGTACTCGCCGTAGCCCGTAATAGATAATGCAATATAAGTTGCAGCGTGAAAGAAAGAAATGAAATAACATCTAAGCTATATACATAGGTTTAAGCTATAATATCCCTATTCCATAGACGGACAATCATGACGTTATATATTATTAGGATTGCAATTTTATTATATCAACCTAACGAATATCGTACCTATACATACAACATAATAATCACAATATAGCGCCGAGTGTTGGGTATTTACGGTAAAGTCGTTGACTGCAGAGGTCCTCGACACCGAGGTTTGCCCACACTTGTATTTTACTTAATACGTACATGTTATAAATATGTAGCTAAGTAGATATAACAACCTAATATCCAAATGCATTAAAACAAGAAACAATAAATTTTGAAAAATATTAAATGTTTTTATTTTTATTTTCATACATGGGTAGGTTACATGAAACAGTGTGTATAGGAACTAAATGTATCGTGCGTAGGACTTGAAATATTATTTATTATATATTGTATTTTATATTAGGTRTRTAGGTACGAATGTACGATAGCTGTAGAGAAGCGTGAACGGACGTATTTTCTGGACGCAGGGAAAATTATAAAAATAATTTGGATTTAAGCACCGTATATGCATTATGTCACGTAAGTGTCAAGTTGAAGGACACTACTATGTGTATCGTAAGATAGTTATTATAATATTTTATAATATGTCATACCATGAATATATTTTAAGGAAACAGATTGTTTTCTATTTATGTCGTAATATGCGRTTCCGTTAGATTAATAATAAGGTGCAAGTACATGGCCCATTGATGCAGTAGTAACTATATTATACAGAGTGGTCTAAGACTTTTAAAAATCATATATTGCTTGATCAGTGTATTGACCCCTTTTGTAATACGTATTATTTCAAAGAGGCCTACATATTACCATTATTAATATTCACAAATATTCCGAAAACCAGTTTTTTTGAGATTTACGGTTAGTTGTAATACACWGTGGTGTTATGACGACAGTGTATACTTAGTAAAATGGCAAAAAGTCAACAAAAACACACGAGAATGTACAATTTAGAATTCTAAAAATTTGCAAATAATAAAATTTGCATTTTAGAACTGTAAACTTGTACATGTMTGTTTATTGAATACGTTTGGGATGCATCGATGTCATTCAGCATATTTGGTCTCGTGCACCATCATTTGATATAGGTTAAGTGGGTATCTACGTAATTTATTTATTTTTCACTAATAAAAACAACTTATACATATTATACACCTACAAATAATTAGATATACCAAGAAAAAAATAATATTTTTATTGCAATTGTTTTAAGGCTATAATAAACTATATTTTATTTTAATATATAAGTATTTCAATATAGTTTTGATATTAAAATAATTCGTCTAAGAATATTAAAAATCATTTCAACGTTTCTTGTTACTTATGTTAATTTCTCTARTGATATAAATATGTAAACCATAATAGTAATGATTATTACGTCTGTGAATTTTAAATTTTTAATACAGATAAATAATTGATATTTTAGATGTTAACCATAAATTATTAATTTTTAGGTTGTTGCAGGTATTTAATAATACTCAATAGTTAGTTAGTTAATACTATATTTATATTAGGCAGCATTAATTGTTTATACTTGAATTTGTGATTATTKTAGTATTTATATCTTTATAGAAATATGTTCATCACATGAATATGATGTATATGTTCACAATTTACTATTATTTTGCTTTTAATATCGAAATATTATAGCTATACATGATAATGATAATTAATGAATAATATAAAATATATTATGATATTCAATAAATATTGTAATAATATATTTAAAGTTTATATTTATAGAAAATTAATAATATATTAATATATAATGTACCTACTATTATGCGGGTATTGTATTGTTATATTCATATAACTAAAAATTGGTTACTGTAATTTCATGCTATAAAAGGTAAACATTTTCAATTTTATTAACACTAATTTGATTTAAAATTTGATTTATTCTTTATTTATTTACTACTCATATGAGTAATATTTCAAATCTGTGTCTAAAAAACACACCTCTATGGCTATAAATGTAAAAAAAATGAAAATTGTTAATCAAATATTACAACTAATAAACTATAACATATAATTATAAATAAACTAAATGTAATTTAAGACTTTAAGAATTGGAAGTTTTGAAAATATATGAGAAAAATACCAAATTTTCAAAATAAAATCGTAGATATATTTATTTTTTAAAGCTTTTTTGATTAATATTCCTTAACAACAAAGTTCTATTTGGATAAACAGTTAATACTTAATATAAATACGTAAATACATAATAAACTTTCAGTTCTTAGTATTATAATCTATAATAAAGAGTGAAATAAAAATATACGCTACCTGACAAAAGTGTATTATGTTAAATCGCTGCACACTCTTTGGATTTGTTCATCTGCAAAATAATGTAGTCACTACTCACTAGTATCCAGAACCGGAACCAACATGGAATTAAATTCGAATTCGAATGATTCTTAGTTTGGCAGTCCACTTGTCCTACGTCTTGACGCTCGCAAATCTCCCCACTATAATAGGTATCATTTTTAAATTCTAGAAGATACAAAATAATTATAGTCATTCCGCARTGGTAAATTAATATAATGTTATTACTTAAATCAGTTATTATGTATTTTTTTTATTTACCTCGTTCCTAACATTAAATAAAACGTATTTATGTAAACCTTAAAATTATTAGTATTTTTCATTTAATTTAATGATGTGGTATGTTTCATTCAAATTGACCTGTATGTACTTGWAGGATTAGTTTTGAAATCACATGTCATGATGATAGTGATGGCATATTATTTATTTGATTATAATATCTATATATTCACCCACCATTTCTGGTAGGTACAAAAACATGTACATCAGTATAATATTATATTTTATATAGTGTACTTGTTTGAATACAAATTTAAATAGATACTCACAGTCTCACAATTCAATGTGGCAATGTTATTAATGAATAGGTACTTATACCGTGATGTTTATTTTAAATATCTACAATATTAATATTAATTTRATTGTATGTGAACGTTAAACATGTTGTTCTACTAAAACTTTAAATTCCTGACGGGTCAACATCCTTTATAATATAATTCTATTATACAGCATACCAATTTTTAAATACTGATCACTATTTTGCTATGTAATGTGTATAGCTAACAGAATGTGTTATAATGGATTAAGAATCACGATTTTACACCTACTCCAGCCGGTTATGACACCATTGAATCAACCAGTCCATTAACGAATATATAGTATTCGACTATAGACTGCAGTAGAATAAAGCACCTACCTACTGTTGGTATGGGAATGTTTATATAAAACTATACTACAATATTGTAATAATATACTTATTACAGCCATTTGATATGATTAAGATAATATTATGATTTTATTGAAACTATAGATTTTATATTATATCTATTTATATATTATATATATATACCATTTTTAATG